CTGCCCTGGCTCAGTGCTAGGGAATTATGGGAACTGTACTTTATTGTGGCACCAGAGCTCTCTAACAGAGAATGCTCAATGGCTCAGAAAAAACTACAGTTCCCATGGTTCCCTAGTATTGAGCCAGGGCAGTTAGACTGGACTCAAACTGGATTGTTTCTGGCAATCTGTAAAAGCTCTTTGTCTAAATATCAATTTTTCTTTCCCTATTTGAGTCACAAGAAACTTCAGTGCATCAGTATGAGATGAACTGAAATTGATAAATTTCCTCATCCACTATATGGCTCGTCAAAATCATCTGAAGGACCATATTTTGCCATATGAGCTTCCTCATGTTTTGAGATCTTTTAGGGAGGGTATTTTCAATGTCCCACTACCCTCACAGGTACATCTGGTGGGAAACAGGGTCTGCAACTCCCTTCCCAGAGATTTAAACTGATGCCTGTCTGGTTATGCTAAGAAGGTTAAGAGTTTTCTGTTTCAAGAGGCCTAACTACTCAAAAGGAAAAAGGACCTTTCAGAATGTGCTGTACTGTTCATTTGTTGTTTTATTTTGAATAGTTTTTGTTTTTAGATTGCATTTGTTTTTAATTGGTATATTTTTAATTTTTTATAAGATTTTAACCTTTGTTTTGGTTCAAATTTCTGCTCGGCTATGAAAATCCACTGGGTAATCATGGACAAGTAACAGTATCAGCTACAGAGAATGGCAATGGAAAATTCTCTCTGAAGAAACCTGCCAAGAAAACCCTCTGATAATGTCACCATAAGTTGGAAATGACTTGAAGGCAAACAACACACTTACAAGCCAGCTTTTAATAATAATTAATAATTAATAATAATAATAATAATAATAATAATAATAATAATAATAATAATAATAATAATAATAATAATAATATTTATTTATATACCGCCCAATGGTTGCCAGGGGGGTATAAATAGAAAGAAACAGGAAAAGCAAGGAAGGAGGAGGAAAAGGAGGAGATTTCAAATTGTGTATCAAAAGTCTGGACTTCAAATGATGGGTCATATATTGCCATCTTAAGCATCACACAGCTTGACACTAATTGTATAATTGTAATCACTTGCCAATATTATAGTTAACAAGTCATTACTATCATTTGTTGGTATCCATTTCCATGGAGATAATTCTGTAAAACTGTCCCTCCAGTTCTTCTGGACCCAATGAAATGTAACCTGTCTGCATGTGGATTTTTACATAGTGACAGGGTTTTCTTCTAAACTATAATGCTTTCAGATAAAGCTCTTAGCCAAATAACCATGGTGATGAGTACATTACTGAGGAGTTGAGTGAAGCCATTACTCAATGAACAATAGCAGCACTTTGGCAGCAAGGTGCATGGGATATTGGAGAATTTGGTAAAATGACAGCAAATGAGCACAACTCAAGATCTTAAAAATTTGATCATTGAAAAAGCTCCTGAAAAAGCTTTGATAAATGCATACTGAATCTGAACATTTAGAACAAGAAGTGTGACAATTTGCACCCCACACCTCAATCCCCACCCCCAGATTTTGGATGGCAACAGCCTCTCTCTAGGTAAATCCACACAAACAAAGCTCAGTTGCAGAACTTTCTGTTTATCACACTGGAATAAAAAAACAGGATATTAGCTCTATGCTGCCACCAATATCCTGTAAACATCGTGGAATAACATGATGGTTTTCACATGATGTCAAATGACATTGTCAATACTGCATGATTATCTCATGAATTAAGCAGCAAAATCACACCACTTTTTATTTTGGGGTAAATCCCGAAAATAAAAATGTGGTGCAATTTTGCTGCTTTATTTATAGGATAATTGTGCAATAATGATAATGTTGTGTGAAAAATGTCACATTATTGTGTGATATTTATGGAATATTGTTGGAATATAGTGCTAATATCCTATTTCTTTCCCAGTGTAATAAACCTCTGGGGGTGGGGGTACAAAGTGGTAAAGGGAGTGATATTTAAAATGGCAATCTATAGAGACCTCTAATTGGAAGTCCAAACTTTTGGTACATAATTTGAAATATATTGTTGCTGTTGTGATGGTGGTTTTTAGTTATATGCCACCTTTTCCCTAATTTAGAACTCAAGCTGCTTTGCAAAGCTTAAAACAGATACAGCAAGGGCCACATGTAACTAGCAATTTCTCCCCAAAATCACACTACCAAAACTGGATGGAAAATCTCAAATAACCTTTCAAATGAGCAGGATACATTTTCTTTTTCTTTTCCCTTCCTTTTAAATGTTTTTTTTCTTGTGTATCTTTGACATTCTGTGCTCCAATTTGCTGCTGAATTTCAGTGGGAATCATTGGTGACTGCTAATGATTTCTGGTTTCCATGTATATGGGGATTTTCTGGAATTTAGTTTGAACATGAAAGGAGTTTTCCACCTGCTGAACCTGTTTGGGGGATGGATTCCAGCACCTTGGATACATCATAAAAATTTTGACTACTCTGGAAAAGGTTCACCATCCCACTGATACACAAGCTACCTACTACCACTCATGCGGTTGTATAGAGTTGGGCTGGCTGGTAGCATTGGAATCAACCTGCTCACCCCAATGTACCTGGTACACATACCCCAACAATGGCCACAGATATCTGGGATAACACACACTTCTACTAGAGGCTGTTGAGAAGTGGCATTCAAACTATGCTCCTGTTGGGGTATGCAGACAGCGAAAATCTAGCATACACATCTGCAGAGTAGATGCACGTAGGCAGGAGTGCCCAGAAGAAGCTTGCTCCAGATGGCACAGAAAAAAATCCTCCCACATGCAAGTGCTGCTTTCAGCTTGCTGAAATGAATAGCTAGACAGTGAGATTTCAGTCAACGAGGGCTTTAACCTTTGTTGCAAATATTTACAAAGACACACTGGGTACCAGGCATCTGTTTTGAATACTCACAGCTATAAAGACTAACAAAGTGCTTTGACAACCACCAACCACAACTAACCAACAACAGAGATTCTGACTCTCTCCCATATATAGGTGGTCCTCTTGAGAACATGTGACATCCATGCAGTAACGAAACCTTGCTGGTTTCATTTCCAGTGCCTGTTGCATCAGGACTGTTGCATCAGGCCTCTCATGATGCATAACTGACTTGTCCCATCCACTGTGCATGTGGCATCAGGCTTCCCATGATAGACAGCTTGCCAAATGCTGACTCATGCACCTGCCACTTGAACTGTAGTAACCCTATTACCCTTGCTCCAGTTTCTTTCAGTGACCACATCCATGTCATTTTCCAGACCAGGGTGCCACATTGTCTTGACAGTTCCTTCAAGGGAAGCTTTGAAATTTCTGGAGACTCAGACTGCTGCCACACTGAGGAGTTAATGTAGTTTGATTTCACTTTAACTGTCATGGCTTCATCCTATAGAATCTTGGGCTCTGTATTTTGTTGTGGCACCAGAGGTCTCTGATAGAGAAGGTTAAATCGCTCACAAA